GCGATAGGTAGTCTGTGCAATTTAGCTGCCTCACCCTCCTAACATTGGCAACCGTTTCGTGTAAATTTTGCATTATTGTTTGGCGGTATGCGCTTTCATCCTCGCCCAGAAACCACATAAATATCTGTAAGCCTTTCCCGTAAAAGAGAGAATGTAAATCGAAGCGCATTCGTCCTTTCGAAACTGCGTGTGAACGTCTGTAGTAGTCGTGCGGGCCTGACGCTATGGAGAGTTGTCACCTGGCACTGAAACCGTTTTGGACAATCCAAAATTTCTCACTCATACCTCAAGTTTACTTATAGGTGTTTTTAATCCGTCCAGTTTAACTGCCATAGAAGAGGATGTTTGTATCTAAAAATCAGAGTCAACTCCCTTGCGCTCGTTGTTATCGTTAAATGGCGGTAACATAGCCATTTAGGCTCCAATAATGCTTCGGGTCATTTGAGGTTTTGAAAAAATACTGAAACAAAAAATCTAGCAGATAATCATGTTATATGTGAATTTCCTCATGTCGTAAGTATGCGAACATGTAACGAAAGGATTGGAGTTAGCATATGAACGCAGGGACGCCATGTGTTAACTCCAACAGTAAAAGTACTCTACAGCCGAAATAGCTGTCTAACTTCTACTTTAGTGACATGATTAAACTCATTGGGATTGTCAATTAGAAAAATTAAAATTCAACTGAAATGTTCAGTGCTCCAGAATTTGTAAATTATATTACCCTGTTGCACAGTTTCCACCCAAATGTAAATTACTCGTTTTAACGCCATGAATGTTTCCTACTTAATAAATCATCTCCACTTTCTCGACAATTACCACAAAATACGAAACCAATACGGGACTGTATTAACAGAGTTATATGGACACGTCTAAACGAAAATGCTTTTAATTAATTTGTGTGATGATCACATATTACACGAGATTCATGCTTCTGTTGCATGACTGTGCGCCTTAGGTATGCAATTGATGACAAATACTGCTATGCGCCGTACAATCAGTTATCAAGTTCATCAAATGTAGAGCATATGCGTTTGTGTCTTTAGTTTATGATCTACCGTTATATCGATTGGCTCGGGGTTTTAAATTTGCTCAAAGAGCTATTGGATGCCACATATTGGTAGCCTCTCCGCCTGCATCTTTGTCTTACTTATTTTGCGGACAAAAATATTGATTGTTTGGTTTTCAACTGCTTACCGAAACTATTCGCATTATAGCTTAATTAGCTGCCATTTTAAATTCATTTTTTTAATTCAATGGGTGATATTGGAGTACCTTAAAATGTGGAGCAGTGTTCAAACAGCTGTGGGATGTTCACACAAACATAGTGTCAAGTTTTTAGAGAGTTTGAATACAGCAAAGCACCAAACAACCCTTTTTTATTGTTTGCTTGAAACTGTCCCCTATAGCGCTTCAGCGCAAGCACCTATCCAGTGGTGGCAAGCCAGCTTATTTTG